GGCACGGACAGAGAGGATGCAGGCACTGAGGTTTCGCTTCAGGGAGGTGACAGAGAGGAACCCAAATGAACAGAAACCAATTAAAGCCTTGGAGTCAGCGCTGGCCCAAAACCACGGGGACAGGGCACAGCTGCAGCAGTGACTCCCTGGGGCTGTCCAGGGCAGGGATGGGTGCCAGGGATGCAAGCACTGCCGCGGGATTTGGGTGTTTCCAGACCCCAGCAGCTTCCCAGATGGAGATGGCAGGGCCATTCCTGCCTGGCTCGCAGGAAAAGGGAGAGAAGGTGCAGAAATTCCGTTTGGAATTTCACAAAAGTTTGGGGCAGAGCACCCCTGTGTGAAATCAGTGYTCTAACTCTGAAATCTGCTCTGGAGCATCAGCCTTGGGGATTTCATCAGGATGGGGAGATGAGCTTGGGACAGGCATCAATCCTAAACCCAACACTGCTGCAAATCCTGCCTGAGCCCTGAGCAAAAAGGGGATCCCTTCCCGCAGTCAGAGCCCATCCCATTATCCTTCCTGCATCCCTGTTTCCTTCCCAGCCCCTCCTCAGCCACCAGCTATTTCCTCCTGGAAATCTGTTTGGGATTTCCACGTCTGGGATTGGGGCCATGCTGCTGGTCAAGATCCCAAATGAAGCCCTGGGCTCTGAGAACACGCTGGAACACTAAAAACAGCCCCAGCAATCGAAGGCACCTCAGCTCCCCACAGCTCTGGGGTGGAAATGGAGAGAGCCCTGGGTAGGAGCAGGTGGCTCCAGGCGAGCACAAGGTGGTGGTTTCTGAGGAAGGACTCGGCCCTGCACATCTGGGCAAACCACCAGCGGGGTTTGTGGGGTCCCAGCCTCCAGATCAGCACGTGTTTCACGTGTTGCTGCAGCTCAGCCCACAGTGGGTGCCCTGCTCCCCCTTCACCCTGCCGGGCAGCTCCTCACCCTCTAACAGAGCATCGAGGGCTGGAGAGGGATTAAAGATCCTCAGGAGGGGCAGAGAAAGGTGGGGACAGCACTGATGGGGCACCCACAGGTGCCACCCCCATCTCTAAAGCATCCCAGAGGAGCTCACAGCATCCCCATTGCACTTGGAATCCCAAAAATCCTCAGTATGCAGCAGCTCCTCTCAGCAGCAGCAATTCCAGGAGCTGTGGTGTCTGCAAAGGGCCACGAGCATCCCCCCAGCAGGGTTAGGGCAGGGATGCAGGAATTCCTTTAATCCCAATGATTTATCACAAAGTTCAAGCTCGTTCTCCCATCTCAGGGCACCCCCCTGGACCAGGCCCCCTGGGAAATCCAGATGGAAAAATGTCCTGGTTTCTGCTGGGATAAAGCTCATTTTCTTCTCAGCAGGGGATGAGCAATTGCATTGTGTATCTCTTCTTTCCTTTTCATTACAATTATTTAATTATTATATTTTATATTTTTATAATTGGAACACTAGAATAGTTTGGGTTGGAAGGGACCTTAAAACTCATCTCATTYCAGCCTCATCCATGTGTAGGGACACCTTCCACAATCCAAGGGTGCTCCAAGCCCCATCAAACCTTGCCTTGAATATTTCCAGAGGTAATGGAAATTGTGGAAGCTGTGGGGCAGCCACAGCTTCTCTGTGCCAGGATCTCACAGGGGAGAATTTCTTCCCAAAGTAAAGAATTTCTTCCTAAAATTATTAAACTGTTCTTAACCCACAAGCTTTACATTTTTTTTACATTTCCTCCCCCAAAAGGGATAGCAGGGAATGAGGGAATGGCTGGGAGGCACCTGCCCATCAGCTGGGATGGCACCACGAGGTGACAGCGGGGAAATGCTCCCATTTCCCACGGCAGGAGGAAAAGGGGAAGCCTTGGAGCAGAACCATAAACAAGTGACCCCATCCCATGACCCCAAAGTGTCACACCCAGGGCAGAGCTGTGGCAGAGGAGCAGGGACAGATCCTCCTCCTCCTCCTCCTCCTCCTCCCTGGAATGAAGGATCTCCCAGTGACCTCATTTTCCTCCCTTTCTCTGCGTTACAACATTTTGAATCATTTCTTTCCTGCCTGGAGATGGATCCAGGAAATTATGGAAGAGGAAGGAGGTGACAGAGGCTCAACCCACCACAGGTAAAACCAAATTAGGGCAAGGCAGAGACACCAAAACTCTCCCCATCACCTTTGAGACCCCACTCCTCCCAAAAACCTCCTCCACCCAAAAACCACAGTGCAAGAGAAATACAAAACATAGCACTTTAATGGCAGGGAGATATAAAAATTTACYGACAAAATGAACAAACCTCAGGCACACAATAAATAGGCAGCTCTGGTGGCACGCACACATGTGCAGCCCTGCTCTGGGAGGCACCAGCAGCTCACAGAGGGTGTGAAAAATCAGGATTTACACATGGATGACGCTGCCTGGACACGCTTGGGAGAGCCCCACACGTGYGTTTGGGAGGGTGAAGCCAAGCTATTCACACTACGCTGCAATCTTGAAAAATTAAAACTCTATATATTTATATAAACTTTGGCTCTGGTCAGGAAAAATTAAGATTCCCCAGTTCTCACATTCAATATTTACATACAGAATCTCCGCATCTGTTCCCAAATTTCAAATCCACTTCGGTAGGAAAGATAAACTCATGAATCTCGTAGCAAAATAAATTTCAGGAGTTCTCTTTAGAAGTCACACCCTGCCTTCCGTCAGCAGGGATCTTTGAAGGGGGAAAGCTGATTCCTGGATATAATCACCTAAATTTGGGCTTTTTTAAGGCTTTTCTCTTATCAAATTGCTGCTCTGAGCGAGGTCTGAGTTGCAGATTGTTGGGGCAGGTGCTCAGAGCTGTTGATTTTTGGTTCTGCTTGACTGGCCATTAACAAAGGCAACACAAAGCAAAGCCAGCCCTGACCTTCCTGYACAGCCTGGATAATCTTTCCTCCCCTAGCCATGATCTGCAGACCAGTCCTAGGACCATAAAAACAATTTTTATCGTCAATCTTTCACAGGACAAAACACTGAACACCCAATTTATTCGCTCATGGCAATTTTCAC